TCAAACTGGCCTCTGTTCTATGCAGTGAATACCTAGCAGTTAGTTTAGTTTGGAATGCCTAGCAGTTAGTGTGGTGTCCTCCTCAAGTCCTCAAATGCTCCATAGCTACTCTGTATATACTCACACACACTGAGTCCATGCAGGGTTTGTGGCTGTTGGTCGTTTTCCTCACTCATTGTGATTTGAGGTGTAAATGGATAAAAAGTCCTCTGCTTTTTTTGTGAATGTTGTTTGTGAACTTTTGGTTTTGTTATTTTACTACTCTGATCTGAGATTTAGATTTAGGTTATTTTAAAAATCAGTGTTGGGGCTGTCCTTGTGGCACAGTAAATTAAACTGCTGCTTGCAGTGTCAATATCTGATGTGGGTGCTGGTTCAAGTCCTGGTTGCACAAATTTCTATTTAGCTCCCTACTGATGTGCTTGAGAAAGAACAGAGAACGGCCCAAGTTCTTGATCCTGTGTGCCTATGTGGGAGACCTGGATGAAATTCTGGGTTTTGCCTGGCCTGGCCTTGGCTGTTGGGGCCTTCTGGGGAGTGAACCAGTAAATGGAAGATTTTTCTTTCTTCCTTTCTCTTGCTCAGCCTTTCAAATAAATAAATCTTTAAATATAATACAAATCTATGCTCTGTCACTTACCTCAGAATCCATTCTGTATTCACATATTTAAAACGTCCCTGTATGTATAGTTTGAAGTCTCTGACATTTGCCAAGTCTACCATGTTTGTGCCTTGTTTTCCAGCTTTTGCTCAAATGTTGTTAACATTTTGGTGTTTGGATATTGGAACATTGGATGTTGTTAACATTTTGGTATTTGAATATTAATATAGGAAGGATTAGAAAGGTCTAGTTTATCCTTGCAGTAGAAATAAAAGTAATTACTGGTTGTAGCAAAGTTGAAAATTCTGCCAAATGCTAGTTAAACATATGCATGCTTAATCTATAAAAGAAACTTTTTGAAAGCTTTTGTCATTAAAATTAATCAGCAAGATACAAGGAAAAGTGGGTGATGGGATAGGGACAACTCTTTCAATTAAAGAATTGCCACCAGTGCCTGGGTTTTAGTAACTTAAAGTTTATTCAGGAAAAAGCAAAGTGAATGTCTGGTGGTTAGTGCAAACATGAAAGCTGGTAGGGCACTCCTTAAGCTATTGGGAAAACAACATGCTTAAGTCTCATAAATGATTGTTAATGTTGTTACCACTGATTTCTTTTAGGGATGAAGAAAAGATCTGACAAAGTTTGTTAGCATAAAGCAGGGTATTTCTGGTTTGAAAGTGGCTAGAATTAGCTACATGCCAGCTTTCTGGAAATTCATCCAGGAACTGTAAGCATGGTCTCTTTCTCCTTCCTTACGACATCTATATAACTTTGGAAGCCTAACCCGGCAGTAAATAGAGTAGTTTCTGTACATTGTAGTCTGAATAATGGCCAAATATTTTACAGCAGGTGCAAAACCATTATTTGCAATATCAACCTTTCAAACAGCCAAAGACAAAAGGTTATATCATATCAGTGAAAACATTTCTGTAGGAAACTAAATATAATGCAATCTAGCCATACACAAGTGCAGAGGTCACAGGCATGAGTGAAGGTTAGTGTGACTGAGAGCGAGGACTGTGGAAAAAAGTGAGAATGATTGAGTTCAGAGAGGGAGCGAGGAGCCAGATCGATCATATTAGGCTTTGTGGGTTGCAGTGGTAAGTAATGATTTTGATTTTACTCTAAAATATTTGGAAACCAAACATTTTACGAACAATAATGGCCTTATTTCATGTCCTCTTTATTTTGAGCCCTTTTATGTTTAAAAAAAGAAAATGCTGATGGCAACCTACTTCAATTGACTTAATAACCACTAATGGATCAAAAAAAGTTTGAAAACCACCACTGTGAATCTAGTATAATGCTCTTCTTCAACTTACTGAAATGAGCCAAATCAGAATTTAGAGATGTGTATTAAAAAAAAAAAAAAGAAAAATAAGATTAGTGCTTTTACTTTAAAATATTGCCCTTTTTTATTCTTCTGGTATGAAATGTTAGGGCCTGTGAGTTTTAAATAGACTTGAAAAATATTAATGCAATCTTCTTTATTCATAATCTGTAATTAAATGTACAAATTGCCAGGCAAAGCAACAGTTGATCTGTTTTGAATATAAGCAAATCATAAATCATTTATAGGTAGCTTGGTGACTTTTAAATTGTCACCTTGGAATTAATGAAATTAAATGTCATTTCACATTTTCTACAGATTGCTTAGTCTTTTGTGTTTCATTTGGAAGAGCTTGTGGGAGGAGTGAAGATAAATGAAACATAAAGGTCAGCGTGAAGAAATGGGAGAAAATGGCCCTTTTAGTTCTACTTGAATAAACTTTGCTCTGTGACCTTTGGAAAAATATTTCACATGCCTAGTCTTACTTTTCTCACATTTAGATGTCATAGTTTTAATGTTAAGGTTGTGAGCACCTAATGGTGTAAAGTATATTTTAGTGTATGATGTATTCTTTGCAATTCTCTCTTGGGAAAGACTATTTAAAACCTATTCTGGGCAATATGTTGCTGGCTTAAGTATGGCTGCAGAGGACAGAAAGATGTGAACAGCAAACTAGAACGTTTTTCTTTGGATTGTTTTCTTTCTAGCAAGTCAAGCATATGATCCTAGTTCTTCTCAATTTCCTATGCTATCCCTTCCCTTCTTAAAGAAGGAAAATAAGTGATGAAAGTTGGGAAGGCAGCGAAGATGTTGTACTTGGTTCAGTATTTTAGTTTGTAATATCTCAAGTCCACTTTATCACAGAGAATTTATTCAAGATGTGTCATTCCTGATTTTAAATTGTGTTGGCTAATTGATAGATATTAATGATGGATATTACTAGAAACCATTTGCCCTTATCTGAACAATAAAGACAGTTTGCTTTCATAAGTCATCCTAGAAGTAAAACTAGAAAGTCAAAGTGAGTTGGAAAGAAAGGCTTTTGTCTAATTGGCTTTTTAAAAAAGGATAGCTTACTATAAAATTCTTTTTTTAATATTTATTTATTTTTATTGCAAAGTCAGAGATATATAGACAGAAGGAGAGACAGGGAGGAAATCTTACGTCCAATGATTCACTCTCTACGCAGCCACAATGGCCAGAGCTGAGCCAATCCGAAGCCTGGAGCTCTTCTGGGTCTCCTCGTGGGTCCAGGAGCCCAAGACTTTGGGCAGTGCTCGACTATTTTTCCAGGCCACAAGCAGGGAACTGGATGGGATGCAGGACCGCTGGGATTAGAACCAGCACCCATGTGGGATCCTTGCACTTTCAAGGCAAGGACTTTAACTGCTAAGCCACGGTGCCAGGCCCCCTAAAATTCTTTATTTTTTTTATACAGGAATCATTCCATAATTTTTTAAAAGATTTATTTTTATAGGAAAGGCAGATTTACAGAGAGGAGAGACAGAAAGATCTTCCTTTTTAAAATGCAGGACTCTTCATATTTTTTTTTTTTAAAGAGGGAAACAATGAGAAATAAGATCTTCCATGTTCTGGTTCACTCCCCAAATGACTGCAATGACTGGAGCTATGCTGACCCGAAGTCAGGAGCCAGGAGATTGTTCCTGGTCTCCTACACTAGCTCAGGGTCCCAAGACTTTGGGCCGTCCTCTACTGCTTTCTGAGACTACACACAGGTTGCTGCATGGGAAGTGGAGCAGCCAGGTCACGAACCGGTGCTGATATGGGATCCCAGTGTGTACAAGGCAAAGATTTAGCCACTAGGCTATTAATAGCACCAGGCCCTATAAAATTGTCTTAAAATATACACCCAGCATGTTTTTTTGTTTTGTTTTGTTTTTATTTTGTTTTGGTTTTTTCAGATTTTATTTTATTTATTTGAAAAGCAGAGTTATACAGAGAGAAGGCGGAGAGAAATGGAAGGATCTTCCATCCATGGTTCACTCTCCAAATGACTGCAATGGTTGGAGCTGGCCTGATCCAGAGTCAGAAGCCAGGCGCTTCCTCTGGGTCTCCCATGTGGGTGCAGGGGCCCAATCACTTGGGGTAGCCTCTGCTGCTTTCCAGATACTTGAGCAGGGAACTGGATTGAAAGTGGTGCAGCCTGGACACAAGCTGGTGCCCATATGTGTTGCCGGCACTGCAGGTGGCAGCTTTACCCCCTATACCATAGTGCTGGCCAAGGAAATGGTTTCTGTTTCATTCACAGAGTTGTGTGACCATTACCACTCATTTTAGATTATTGTTATCACCCCGGAAAGCAACCTTGTACCACTTGAAACCACTAATGTGCATTTTGCTTTTATGCATTTGCCTATTCTAGATGTTTGATATAGATGAAATTATTTAAGTTCTGGGTGTGTGTGACTGGCTTTTTTTTTTTTAACATAGGAAAGTTTAAAGGTTCGTTCATATTGTGTATATCATTACCTCAGTACTTTTTATTGCCAAGTAATAATCCATTGTGTGGTTATTCCACATTTGTTCATCTGTTCGTTACCATTGAGTTACTTCGACCTTTTGGCTATTGTAAATAATGTACATTGTGTATGAGTTTTATAAGGATATATGTTTTCAGTTTTCTTGAATATATACTTAGAAGTAGAATTGCTGGGTTATATGCTAATTTTATGTATAATAGTTTGAACATCTAACAAGCTACTTTGCAAAGTGTTTGCACCATTTTCTTGGCTGGATTTTATTATTTTAAGAAGTTCTTGAATTTTTTTGTTTTGTTTTGTTTTGATTTGAGAGGCAGAAAGAAAAACAAGCAGCTGCTCCATTGCCATTTCATTCCCCCAGATACCCACAATAGCTGAGACTGGGCCAGGCCAAACCTAGGAGCCTGATGGTAGAAAACCTTAGCAAAAGTAAGCCACTTGAATTGATAAGGTAAAAAATTCACCTGGAGTATCTTGCAAAATTGGAAGTACTTTTTTCCTTTAAACTAAGGTAGGCTTGAAATTATTATTAATCTAGATTCTTTCTTTTTTTTTTTCCCTCTTGCAGTTTTATCTCCAAGACACTAAAAGTAGTAATGGTACCTTTATAAATAGCCAGAGATTGAGTCGAGGCTCCGAAGAAAGTCCACCATGTGAAATTCTTTCTGGAGACATTATTCAGTTTGGGGTAGATGTGACGGAGAACACACGGAAAGGTACGGGTATGGATCAATTTTTCTTATTATTTATTTTAAAAGTTGTGTTTTTATTAAAATTCTGTTAATGTTTATGTACTTATAAAAGCTATTTAAATTCAGCATTATGTGCCATGAAAAACAAAGTTTTCTATTTCTTCTATTGCTTTTTAAATATTTTTATTTCTAAAGTTTTGGTTATTATTTATTTGGAAGGCAGAGAGAGAGAGAGACAGATGGATTTTTCCATTCTCTGCGTACTCCACATTTCACTCCACAAATGTCTGCAATAGCTGGGGCTTTGCCAGGCCAGTACCAGGAACCAGGAACTTCATCCAGGTTTCCCACACGGGTGGCAGTGCATAGGCTGTTATCTGCTGTCTGCTGAGTACATTCACAAGAAGCCTGACCAGCAGCAGAGGTGGGACCCCAATGCCAGGCACTCCAGTGTGGGATACAACTCTCAAGAAACATCTTAATCAACTTCAACTCCACTCAACCCTGCAAATTTTGAGTTCTGAAATGTTGTAGTTTTTATCATGCTTTGATTTATTGCCACATAGTCAAAAGGTATTGACTGTAAGTGTGGCTCTTTTTGAGTTAATAGAGCAATCTTTTAGATATCTCCCAAACAGATTTCTTCTTCTATCTCACTGGCTCTGTGGGTGGGTTACATAATTACCTATAGCAACCTGCAGCCGGGTAGAAGCTGTGGCACATCTGCCATTGATACAGATCAGTTTTGATTTGTCCCTTGAAGTCTTACATGCATTGTTTGACCAACAAAATCAGAGTTCTGTTAACAAGAAACAAGAGGGAAATGTTGTAGAGGTAGGCAGCCCATAGAACTTACCACAAGTTTTAAAACAAAATGTCATATTTCACAGCTTTTGGAATTAAAGGATTTCTAGCTAAATAAATGTTGTTTGGTCTTGGTAATTCTGAAGGTTACTGGCACTATTTAGTTTATTATGTATTTTATAATGCTAAAATTCTGTTGTTGGATCTTAAAACTTCATGTTAGAAACCGGTAGTGTGTGATCCCGTTATCCTCATTTGATATGGACAGTGGAATAGCTTGGCAAGCTTTTCTTTTTTTTCTCTGAAGATGCAATGGTGGTGATAACATTGCTAACAGATGACATTTTGCACAGCAGAGCAGTAGAGGTGGTGGTGGTGGGTTGATATAATGGTTACTGCTGGGGGCGGTGTGAGTGTGCTCATTAGCTATTAATTCAGTAGTAGGCTTTTTTTTTTTCTGGTTTTTGTTGATATCCTCAGAAATTAGATTTCAAGTATTTGAACTTAAGTAAAACTGAAGTCTTAAGGAACTTCCATTTACAATGGTAAAACAAAAGAGAAACATTGACTTCTGTTGCAAAATAGTGACTACACTATTAGGAGAATTCTACTTAAGTATAACCATTCTGGGAATAGCAGCACTGAATACTCATTACTTTAATGACTCTTACCATATCACACCTCCCTTGATACTGAGTCATTTAACAAGCATCGACTTGAGCTCAGTATATGAAGCATCACTTTTGAACAAACCACAGAGAAGAGACTTTTTCTCCAAGGACTATTTGTCTCCTAAGCTTCCATTTCCTAAAAAGCATTATTAGGTGTTAACTGATGGAAGTGTGAGGTAATGAAATACATACGAAAAATGTTTGGTTGACCTTGGCAAGTAGAACTTCCCAGAGCATTTAATATACTGTTCTAGTTTACAGATTTCCAGATGAGCTTATGCCATAGTAAGCCATTAGAGAATGCAGCTCTTTGCAAATTCCTTTCCATCCTTCTCATCTAGTTATGAGAGATATTGTTGTAGAAAGAAAGTACTATGGAAAACTAAGAGGATATTTGTGAAACTCTTGGTTATTGTTAACATTGTATTATTATAGCAATGTAGGAGTCCTACACGCTTCTTTTGAAAATTTGCCTTTTGTGCTAACTTTAAGAAAATTTAAAAAATTTCTTCATTATTTATGATCTTAGAATCTTTTTTTTTTTTTTAACTTACTGGCTTTAAAAAGTTGACATACATTACCCAAGAGCTGTTTTGGGGATATAGCTATATCACAAATTAAGTATTATCTTTTTAAGCTTATGCCAGAAAAAAAAGTATGTGCTAAATAATAGTGTTTATAATTCTTGGAGAATATTGTTGAAATTATGCAACACTACTGGATAAGCATGGGATTAAAAAAAACCAACAAAAATAATTTAAAACAACCAAAAAAGCAAAAAAAAAAAAAAAGTAATCAATTGGATGGTTTTTAAGGGGATAAAAAAGGAAGCTTTTTTTTTTAAAAGACTTATTTGTTTGAGAACCAGAGAAAGAGCTCTCATCAGCTGGGTCAAATGCCTACTATGGCCATGGTCGGGGCAGGGTTAAACCTTGGAACCAAGTATTTGATCTAGAAGCTGAAGTCTAGAGCTAGAACCAGGGATTGAACTCAGGTGCTTTGATGTGGCATGCACATGTCGTAACTGCTAAGCCAAACACTTGCTTCTTTAAGAAAAAAAAAAAAGATTTATTTATTTTTATTGGAAAGTCAGATATATAGAGAGGAGGAGAGACAGAGAGAAACATCTTCTGTCCATTGATTCACTCTCCAAGTGGCCGGTGTTGCGCCAATCTGAGGCCAGGATCCAGGAGCCTCCTCCAGGTTTCCTATGTGGGAGCAGGGTCCCATGGCTCTGGGTCAACAAGCCACAAGCAGGGAGCTGGATGAGAAGTGGAGCTGCCGGGATTAGAACTGACGCCTATATGGGATCGTGGGCGTTCAAGGCGAGGACTTCAGCCTCTAGGCCACCATGGTAGGCCCTGGAAAGGACACTTTATACCTCAATACAGTAAATCAGTTAGTCAGATAAAGTTTATAATCTTAAATTCCTGCATTATCAAGAGCCAAAGACAAATACTAAAGGAACAGGCCACTTATCAGAAGAAATTAGACCAAGAATAAGAAAAAAAAAAAAAAGGCTTGGAAGAAGCAGAAATGAATGAAGCAAACAAAACTCTAGCAGAAATTAAAAACAATTGAAATGCTAATTCTTTTTAAACAGTAAGATAGGTTATCCATAAATCATAAGGTGCATTAGGTGAAGCATGAATAAGCACAAATGCATACTGTATTGAAAGAATTCTACGAGAATGTATGATTACTAATAATAAGGAGAAAAGTGATATTAATGTTTTCCTAGCAAAATTATCCCAATATGTGGAAAACTTAAAGTCAATTTTTAAAAGAGTTCTCTGTTTTTATTGAAAAGGTAGATTTACAGAGAGAAGGAGAGACTAAGAGAAAAATCTTATATCTGCTAGTTCACTCCCCAAGTAGCCACACGGCCAGAGCTAAGCCAATTTGAAGCCAGGAGCCAGGAGTTTTTTGGATCTCCTATGTGAGTGCAGGGTCCTAAGGACTTTGGGCCATCCTTCTGTGCCTTCCAGGCCATAATCAGGGAGCTGGATGGGAAGTGGAGCTGCCGGGATTAGAACCAGCGCCCATATGGGATCCTACTGCTGACAAGGAGAGGGTTAGTCAATTGAGCCATCATGTCATGCCCACATCAATTTTCTTAGAAGAACCTGAGAAGTTACTAAAAATTCATCACTGTCAAGATACCAGAAACAGAAGGATTCTCAACTAAATTGAAAGAAATTAACATATATTACTGCCAAATTTGCTGAAGAATTAGTACAGAAACTAAGCTATTTTAGTATGATAAATTGCTAGTATTATAATTAAAATTTTGATTAAGTTAAAAATCATAGAATAAACAACAAATTTATTCCAGGAATGCAAAGGTGACTCAGTGTCAGCAAATATCAGCATAATCCAAAGCCTAAAAAATCTATATAACTTTAAACAGTAACTTTATATAAGCAATAGAAGTTTAAAAAGCATTTAATCATATTTAGTGATTATCTCTAATAAAAACTCTAAATAGGAGGAAAAGATCTTTAAGGTAGCAGGCACTGTGATGCTGCAGCAAGTTAAGCCATTGTCTGTAGTGATGCCAGTATCCCATATCAGTGCTGGTTTGAGCCCTAGCTGTTTCACTTTAGGATCCAGCTCCCTGGCAGTGCTCATGGAAGAGTAGCATCCAAGAACCCATGTGCCTGGGCCTTTGCCACCCGTGTGAGAGACCTGGATGGAGTTTTACACTCCTGGTTTGAGTCTAGCACAGCCCTGGTCATTGAGGCCATTTTCTCTAACTCTGCTTTTCAAATGATTTAAAAAAAAATTTATAAGTAAAATAGAGTAAAAAGTAACAAAAATATTATATAGTTGTAAAACTATATGAGCTAAAGTTCCAAGATAAATCTCACGTAAATTGAAGAAAGATATGTATGATATAATATGTTATATAAAGTGTGAATATATGCAAAGCAGTACCATATAGTGACTTTTGTTTAAAGATTTACGTGTTTTTGTTTGAAAGGCATATTTTGCAGAGAGAGGAGAGACACAGAAAGAGGTCTTCCATCTGCTGGTTCACTCCCAAAATGGCTGCAACAGAGAGCCAGAGAAGAGAGATATTTTGTTCCCCAACTGCCTGCATCTGTTTGAAGCCTAAACAGAGAGCCAGTAACGCAATCCAGGTCTCCCACGAGAGTGGCAGGAATCTAAGTTACTTTGAGTCATCGCTGCTGTTTTCAGGGGTCTAGAATATCAGGAAGCTGGAGTCAGGGACTAAAGCTAGGACTTAAAAAAAATAAAAAAATAAATAAAATAAATAAATATCAGGAAAGGCAGATTTACAGAGGGAAAGAAAGGAAGATATTTTGTCCACTGGTTCACCCCCCAAATGGCCACAAGAGCTGGAACTGAGCTAATCCAAAGCCAGGAGCCTCTTCCAGATTTTCCATGCAAGTGCAGGGTCTCAGCAACTTGGCTATCCTCTCCTGCTTTCCCAGGCCATAAGCAGGGAGGAGGAGCAGTCAGGACACAAATCAGCACCCGTAAGGAATGCTGCAACTGCAAGGCAGGGGAGTAGTCGAACTATTG